ATTTTGTTCGTGTTCGTTCGTTTATTGGTTCGACACGTTCGTGTTCGTTCGTTTATCTAGTCGAACATGTTCGTGAACTGTTCGAATTGTTCGACAAGTTCGTGTTCGAGTTGTTCGACATGTTCGTGTTCGTGTTTTTTAACCTTTTTTTTTAATGTCATACAAGTTATTTTATTTAAAATTTAATATTTATTCATATTTATATGTTATATTATATATGTATATACTATATATAATATATAAAATTATTAAATATTTGTGTTTTATTTAATATTTAATATATATTCATATTTATATATTATATTATACATGTATATACTATATATAATATATAAAATTATAAAACATTTTTTTTGTTCGCGAACGTTCGATTAGTTCGCGAACATGTTCGTGTTCGTTCGATAACTAAACGAGCTTAATTTTATGTTCGTGTTCGGTTCGAATGCTAAACAAACGAGCTGTTATCGAACACGAACGAACTCGAGCGAGCTTTGTTCGCGAACGTTCGGTTCGAAAAACAGCCCTACAAGCCAGCATAAGAAAAGATACCAGGGTGTTAAGATAGGACCCAAGGCTCCTGTCATTACTCATTTGCTTTTTGCTGATGACTCAATTCTTTTTTGTAAGGCTGATAAGCACCATGCTCAGTTAATTCTAAACTGATTAGGTGCTTATAGCCTTGACTCTGGTCAGGCTGAATCTTCTATCTTTTTTTCTAAGAACATCTCTCATGTTTCTAAAGCTGATATCTGTTCTATTCTTAATGGCATTGCATGTGTCCAATCTTCTAGATATCTAGGGTTTCCTTTAGGGATAGGGAGAACCAAAAGAGAAGTGTTTAATTTCTTGTCGGAGAGAGTGAAACAAAAGTTAGAGAGTTGGAAAAATGTGTTCTTGAGTGAAGCTGGGAAAGAAACTCTTATAAAATCTGTGTTGAGTGCTTTACCAACTTATGTTATGTCATGTTTCAGGGTTCCACATTCTGTGATTGGTTCCATGAGTAAAGATATGGCTTCATTTTGGTGGGGGAAGGGTGAGACTGGGGGAGATAGAATTAACTGGGCCAAATGGGAGGATTTGTCTAAACCTAAATTGTTTGGGGGGTTGGGCTTTAAAGATTTGAAGGCCTTTAATGAAGCTTTACTAGTTAAACAACTTTGGAGGGTAATTACAAGACCCAACTTGTTGGTTAGCAGGCTTCTTAAAGATAGGTAATGGGGATCCAATTTATTTGTGGTGACTCTTGGCTCTGGAAAAGATGGATGGGGGTCAGAGAGAGTCTGAAATTGGGGGCTAGACTTAGGGTGGGGGATGGGAAATCTATCCATGTTTGGAATTCACCTAGGATTCCCAACAACTCTGGAGTTAAGCCCGTGTGTGAGTTTGAAGGGGATAGGGAGAGGTTAATGTGGGTGAATGACTTGTTATTGGAGGGACAAAGAGGTTGGAATAGAGAGCTGGTTTTACAATCTTTTAACCCTTTTAAAGCAGGTTTAATTCTTAACATTCCATTGGCTACTCATGGCACTAAAGACAGACTCATATGGAATGGCAACTCTTCAGGATCATTCTCAGTGAAGGTTGTTTACAACACCATCTTGATTCACAAAGCTCAGAAATCTGCCCAAGTGGATGGCCCTAGCAAAAACCAGGACAATCTCATGAAAGTTTGGAACACAATCTGGAGACTGCCCATAGTGAGCAAAATCAAAACATTTCTTTGGAGGTGTTGGTTTGAGTTCCTTAGTGTAAAATCATATTGCAAACCAAAGGAGTGCAGATTGGTGGTACTTGCGAGTTTTGTGTTATGGAGGAGAAGGATGTAAACCATCTGCTGTTTAGATGTGAAAGAGTTGAAAGGTGTTGGAAGCTGTCTGGGGTGCAATGGAATAGTTCGGAGTCTGCTAAGGGTATTTCAGAAGTTGGTGGGGGGAAGTGAATGGCAGTTTCAAAAGCAGGAGGATGGTGGAAAGGTTAAACCTATCTGGTTGCTTGATTTGGGAATTGTGGAAAGCAAGAAATGAGTGGGTGTTTAACAAGGTATGGGTAGGAGAAAGGATTGTGGTGGAGAAAGCATCATCGGGATGGAAAGAAGTCTTAGCTGCTATGAATGGAGACAGACTGGAGCAATTTGAACTGGGTGGATCATTTTCAAGGTGGAGTAGGTAAGGTGTGTTTAGCTATTAGTGCTCACTGATCCAGTCAGGGGATAGTTGGTCTTGGGTGTGTTGCAGCACTTGAAGGCAAAATCCTGCAATCTTGGACTGCTAAATTGGAGAATGTGGAGTCTGAAGAGATAGCTGAGCTCATGGGTCTGAGATGGGGACTAGAGGTGACCTCTTTACATGGCTTGCAGGACTTGTAATATTGTGTGCAAGACCAACTCAGAGACATGGCACTTCCAGGGCATTGCAGAAGTATTCTGTTCGACATTTCTTTTTTATCTTTTGTGCTAGTGCGGTGTGTGTTTGTTTCTGGTTTTTCGTTGTGTTTCTAGTTATAGATTGGCCAAGTTGGCTATTCAGGGGGATTGATGCTTGATTTCCCGTGTTGGAACCTTTCCCTGTGATTGGGCTTTGTACTCAGGGTTGGTTTCCTCTTCGGTCAGTTGATCGACAATTGTATGAACTTGTTTCTGAGTTTAATTTAAGTTGATTGTGGTTGCGGAAAAAAAAAAATATAATGAATAGATAACACAAAAGAAGCTGAACCAATCAAAAATCAACTTGACTAATACATTGTCCCAACTCCCAAATGATTGTTGCCCATCCTGGTCCTTTGATGTCATCTAATGGGTTCAGATAATCATTATAGAAAATTGAAGATAAGTTGCCCAAGTCAAAGAAAAGAAGCCAAATTGTTGGTAATAATTAGCAGCCAAGAAATGCAGATGCTAAGCAAAAATATGTATTAAATTAAGGTAATGGAGACAAGCAATGATATCCTTTTCTTCTTTACTTCAACTATGGGACAAGTTTTCAACATAAAGCAATCTCTCTCCCTTTCTCTTTATATTCTTTTGTGCAAAAAGTTCCTTTGTCATTCATTCCTTCTCACCTTTCTTTTTCTTCCTACCCTTGTAAAGTACACGTTGAGAAGTTTGGGGAGAAAATCCAATGTGGCAAAGGCGGATAAGAAGATCTTCTTTGAGAGAATCTATCAAAGCCCTTGAAGTTGATATTCATCATGCCAACAACTTGTAAGTCTTACAAAGGAAGAGAAAAGCAAATAATAATAATAATAATAATAATAAAGGGAATTATTTTCACTAGAATTATGTGTTTTCTTGAATGCCATTATCCCAGTTTTATATCGTAATATTCAAAATATCAAAGTCTACGAAATTTATTTGTGGTTAGATAGTTTTTAAGGTAGTTAATTAGGTGGTGGTGGTTGTTACTCAAATAATAACTAAAAAAAAAAGTTGGTAAAATATTAAATAACAAGTGGTTTTTTGTAGGATGGCTGGTCTTCCAAGAGAGATAGCTGGAGATTGTGTACAAATAAAGTTATCTCTAAGCCCATTAGCTCCATTTTTGGTATATCTGTTAGAATGGATGGATTGCAGCTGTTTGGATGCCTTTCTCAGTTTTCTTGGAGTTTTTAACATCCTTGTCTACAAGGTACTACTTAATTTTACACCATTAAATTTCGTTTATCACAATTTACTTCATTATATATATATATATTTCTTGTTTTTCGAAAACTATGAGCATGCAAACAAGGTGTTTGTGTTTTCATCCCTACTAACTTCCTTGTAGGTTTGTTATGTTTGTCTTTCAAAATTTTGTATAGGTATATGTTGATGGAATGCCGATAGCACGCCCAGAAGAAAGGAAAGCTACTCTTCGAGAATTCTATTGTACGCTTTCCCCTGCTTTCTATATCCTTCTAAAGTTGTGAAAGAAAAAATAATAATTAATTGTTTTTTAGTCATTTTCAAACGTCGAATTCTCTAAAACAGGCATTATATATCCAATGCTGAAGCAAATTGAAGGGAATATGATAGAGTTGATGGAAGACAAGCTTAAAAACTGTGATTCTGAGCATAACAAAATGGTTTGTAGAGATTCAGACACAGAAGACGAATGTGGAATATGTATGGAAATGGACACCAAAGTGGCATTACCAATTTGTGGCCACTCTATGTGCATTACCTGTTTCAATGAATGGTAAGAAGAATACTAGCTAATAATAGTGATTTTTTTTCTTTTTTTAATTTATTCCCTTTTGATGTATATTTGTTGTTAGGTATGTTAGATCTCGGTCGTGCCCTTTTTGTCGAGGCAGCCTAAAACGGGTGAGTTCATCGGATTTATGGGTTTTGACTAGCAACTCGGATGTGGTGGATGCTTTTACTCTTGCTAAAGACAATCTAACACGACTTTACTCATACATCGACAAGCTGCCGCTTTTAGTATCAGACGATAGCTTGTTGATATACAATTATTATCTTGTTTGAGTTGTGTCGATTAAGATTGCCGAAAACCTCATGTATATAATGTAAATTAAGCAGCATCAATGTTATAAATATAAATATAAACTTTATGTTAAACTGCTGAGGGAACTGCAAACGTGGTCCCATGAAGGCATGAATTGCAAAAATTATTTTTACTACGGATTCGGTCCCAAAGTTGAGTCGAACCGTTTCGAAAACTAAACCAAAATCATTCCAAACCAAAAAATAACACTGGCCATTTGACTTTGTATGAATCGAACCGAATCGGAAAAAATAATTGGTACAGTTACGGAAATTTCACAAAGACAATTGGTACGTTTGTCTTTCACAAATGTACACCACCATTTTATTTTTTAATACAAGAAAAATTTAAATTTAAATATTATGTATATACATATGAATTATCACATCAATTTATTTAGACATTTGAATAATTTTCATATCTATCATATACATTTAATTTAAATTTATATTATATTAAAAAGTATATAAATATTATTAACTAATTTAAAAAAAAAAAATCACTTGTCCGATCAACCGATTTAGACTGGTTCATTGGAATTCAGTTCGTTTAAATAAATCGAATTGTTTATTTGACGGATTCTCGATCCGACCGCCATATTTGTCCGGTATTCAAAACAATAGTAGTTGATATTATTTAAAAAACAAAAAATATTATTGACATCTACAATTATTTTTTTATTTTTAGTGACATCTACAATTATTAATAAAATCAAATAATTATTTTCCTCAATATACTTATTATTTAATTAAAAAATATTAATTTAAAATAAAGAAAAGATTGTATAGTAATTATTAATACAATATAAAAAAGTGAAATAACATTGTTGAAATGATATGATATCAAATCTTGTCTCATTTGACTAACAGGAGAACCAAAATTGCAACCAAAAAACAAAAAAAAAGAAGAGGAAATGACCATTTTTGCTATATTTGGGACTAAATTTGCAACACAGTAATTATGTGAGACTAAATTTACAATATCATCATTACTAAAACTAACGACTAACAGCGCACGTGACAGTCCCATTAGTTTTGATGGGACTGAGACAAAATCTGCAATTTATGGAACCAATTTCGCAATAGGTCCATTCGTACATGACCAAATTTGCAATTCCTTCTTAAACTGCTATTGCTTTCTCTAGTTTAGTTTAGTCGGCAGTGGTCCATGTATTCTAATGGAAATGAGATATGGCTGTGATAAATTCTCAAGTCCTAAAAATTAATCTCCGTTCGGTTCTTTCTACAATTCAAAATTCCATTGCATGTTTACTGAAAAGGGATTTCTCAATCAACTTTGTAGTCAGAAGGATTTAATTTTTTTCGTAGGAAAAAAATGTTGACTCATTATGCCTAATATTTATATATTTTTTGGATGAGTAATGTTCATATAATTTTGGGTAATGGGTAGTTTCAATAGCTGCATTTTGCAATTATAATACATACA